AGGAGCCTTAAAACCCCTCCATCTGTTACAGCTCGGCCTGTTTCCCTCCCCTGCTGGCCAGCTCTCTCCCTGGGAGTGGAGAGGGGGATGCCCCAGTGGAAACAGCCTTCCTGCCTTACCCACAGCTGGGTGGCACAGCTGCATGCCGTGCCTGGCAGAGCTGCTGGCGCCAGGCTGGCATTGTGCAGCCCGAAATCACAGCTGTCAATGCAAGCCTCTGTCAGCAAACCCTGCTCCTGGCCTGCTTGGAAAACGAAACACCAGAGCTGCTGCTCACCTCTGTGAGTCAGCGCTGAAATGGGAACCTCGGGCAGAGGTGAGCTCATGGGATCACTGAAATTTTTATTTTGAAGGAATTAACTGCTCACAGCACCCCTGGGAACAGATGATCACAGGCTCTAACCAGAGCTTTTAATCCCAGGATGCCTTTCCTTTAGCTAGAAGCACTCCCTCTTTTCCCAGCAAACTTTTCCTGATGTCCCAGCCACTGCTTGTTCTCTGTATTCCTACCACATCTTGGTGCTTAATCTCAAAGAAGCCTTTGCAACACAAAAGTGCAAATGAAATGCTAAGGTTATGTACAGAAATCCTGATTTCTGTGGCCTCCAATCAGTAAGGCTGTGAACAATGTAAGGGGAGTAAAAATATTGGTAAATTAAATTGTTTTTTCCTGTCTGGTTTGGAATCAATAAAGCAATGATGGAAATGTTACTGGAGTGGAAATTATGCTAATTTCCTTCTGTGGTATTTCAGGTGTTTAAACAGAAGTAACAGGGAATTTTTAAAGTAGGTGTTGCAAAATAGTTCTGCTTGAGGGCTTTTTAGGTAATGTCTTTGTTAACCCCTTCGGGTCAGCCAGCTCTTTTTTCTCAGCAGTACTTGGCAGGGGGAAGATGACAGAGCATTAGCAACAGAATCATGGAATGGGTTAGGCTGGAAGGGACCTTAAACCCTTAAACTCATTCCAGCTCCTGCCGTGGACAGGGACACCTTCCACTTGTTTGATCTCAGTTCCTGCTGTTGCTGGCAGGCCCTGAATGTCCCCTCCCTCATTTTATTGCACATTGAATTTGCCCCACAGGGCAGCGAGGGCAGATTAAAGGATAAACACCTGTGCTCAAAGAGAAACAGCCCCCTGCCCACTGGGGAGACTCTCTGCCTGCCCAGGGGATGGATGTCCTGGGCTGGGAGGGTCTCTGCACAGTGGGAAGGGGTCTCTGGCTGGCAGGGAGGGGTCTCCAGCCGGGGTCTCTGCCCAGGGTCCCTGTCTGAAGTCTCTCTCCAGGGTCTCCATGGGGAGTTTCTGGCCAGAAGTCTCTGTCTGGGGTCTCTCCCAGGATTTCTACCACAGGTCCCTGCCCGGGGTCTCAGTGCAGGTTCTCTTCTGGGGGCTCTGTCATGGCCTCTATGTGGGATCCCTGCCTGGGCTCTCCATGTTGGGTTCTCTCCTGGGGGTCCCTGTCCATGGTCTCAGCCTGGGGTCTCCCCTGGGGCTCTCTCTCAGTCTGGGCTCTCTCCTGGAGCTCTCTATCCATGTTCTCTGTCCCATCTCTCAGTCCCAGCTCTCTATCCATGTTCTCTGTCCCATCTCTCAGTCCCAGCTCTCTATGCATGTTCTCTGTCCCATCTCTCAGTCCCAGCTCTCTATCCATGTTCTCTGTCCCATCGCTCTATCCATATTCTCTGTCCATGTTCTCCGTCCCATCCCTCTATCCATGTTCTCTGTCCCATCGCTCATTCCCAGCGCTCTATCCATGTTCGCTGTCCCATCTCTCAGTCCCAGCTCTCTATCCATGTTCTCTGTCCCATCGCTCATTCCCAGCGCTCTATCCATGTTCGCTGTCCCATCTCTCAGTCCCAGCTCTCTATCCATGTTCTCTGTCCCATCGCTCATTCCCAGCGCTCTATCCATGTTCGCTGTCCCATCTCTCAGTCCCAGCTCTCTATCCATGTTCTCTGTCCCATCGCTCATTCCCAGCGCTCTATCCATGTTCGCTGTCCCATCTCTCAGTCCCAGCTCTCTATCCATGTTCTCTGTCCCATCTCTCAGTCCCAGCTCTCTATCCATGTTCTCTGTCCATGTTCCCTGTCCCATCTCTCTATCCATTCTCTCTATCTATATTCTCTGTCCACGTTCTCAGTCCGTCTCTCCGTCCCCCCTCAGGCCGTTCCCTCACGGCCGCGCCGCTCCCTCTCACGCTCCGCCCCCTCGGGCGCGCGGGCCCCTCCGGCAGCCAATGGGAGGCGGGGAGGAGGGCGCGCGGTGCGGGGCGGGGCCAATGGCGCGCGGGCGGCGGGCGGGGCNGGTGGGCGTGGGGCGGGTGTCGGTGCCCGCCGCGTGCAGGCCCCGCCGCCGGGAGCGGGGCTGGCGGCGGGACAACTGCGCATGGATGGGATCGGCGGCGCCGGTGGACGGGAGAGCGGTCATTAACGTAATTAGCGTAATTAGCGTCCGTGCGTCCTGCGCGCTGCCGGGGAACGACCGGGCGGGAGGCAGGCTCGGTAAAATCCCGTCTTTTCCGATCCGCTCCCATCATTCCGGAGCGGGAGCGTGGGAAGGAGCGCGGCGAGGAACGCAGCCGCCGTGGCGGAATGACCAAAGCTTTAAATAAAAATATCCGCTGCACCTGATACCCACGGCTCGTCCATCCCCGAAATACCGGCGGGGAAAGCCGCGCTGCCGTAAGTGAGCTCTGCGTTATAAATCAGTGCTGCGTTATAAATCAGTGCTGCGTTATAAATCAGTTCTGCGTTATAAATCAGTGCTGGGCTCCCTCTCCTGCCGACCTTGGCCGGGGCAGCCTTTGCATCACGCAGCGCTGATGGATGATGCGCTCCGCAATCAATCGCTCCCGCACATCTCGCCCAGCTCCGGGCTCCCTGGCGTTGTTCCCCTCTCTGCAGCCCGGTCTGGGGCTGCCTCTCCCTGCTCCGTGTCCCCAGAGCAGTGTGGTACCCATGGGCCGTGCCCACCTGTCCAGTCTAACCCTCTTCTCTTCCTTCTGCTGCTCCTCTTTCACCCTCCACACCAGCAGCTCTGTAGCCCACCAGTAGCAGCAAGAAGATGTTTGAGGTTCTGGCTTGAATCCCAAGTGGTTTAGATCACGTTCATTTTGGGGGTGATGCTCTTTTCCAGAGGAACATCCCATGTTTGTGGCTTCCAGGTGTCAGAAACTCCTCAATCCCTCACAGTGACATGCTGAAAAATACACATGGATATGTATGGAGATGTAATAGAGTTATTTATTGCCAGCTGGATTGTTTTATAACACGTTCTTAAAATCATAGTTGGAAGTAAACCTGATCCTCAGAGCTATGGAAAAAGCTTTAATAAATCTTTGCATAATTAGAAGCAAAATTCTTGCACAGCTGGCCTTGGATTTGTACCACCTGGGTTCTTAGGGAGGATTATTGCCAACTGCTACCTGATGGAGGCACAGAATCTGTCTCCTGTAGGAGTGTATCCACAAGCCCCCGTGTGCAGAATTAACCCCTGTGTGCAGAATGAGCTGTTTTACAGAATATTGCTGCTGTTCCCTGAGCCATGGTCTGTGAGCAGGGGAGCTGTGCAGGGCAGCGAGCTGGGAGCCAGGGCAGCTCAGAGCTTTCACTTTCCCGTGGCCAGAGGAAGCCCAGAATAAACAGCAAAGCCCTTGGAGGTCTCAGTGGAGCTTAGGGATTAGCAGCCAAGTCTCTTGTCCTCTGAAGCACATCCTTCAGCATCAGCAAAGAGATTGTTGGCTTTTTTCTCTTTTTTCCCTGGTTTGGCTGTTCTCTTTTCCACCAGCTTTTTCTCCCAACTGCTCTGGATATGGGGTGGTTGAACACCACAGGCTGGTGTTCAATCAGAGAGATTTTTCAAATCTCTCTTGCAGAGAGGACTTCAGCCACATTTGTGTTTCACAGGCATGAACAGCATGGCTGTTTGGTTCAGGAGTTAATTGGGACTTTCCTTTTCCATGTGCTGTATTTTGCACTTCACATTCCACCTCACAAAGGCTTATTCCATTTTATTGGACTAACTCATCCAATCCAACTTCAGAGTCTCTGCTCTGGGGTTACTTGGTAATGGAATGGTTGGTTTTGGGTTTTTTTGCAAAAGACACTTCCCTGAGGCAGAGATGAAATCACAGAACCATGGAATCCCACAATTTGGGTTGGAAAGGGTATTAAAGATGACCTAGTCCCACCTCCTGCTGTGGCCAGAGACACCTTCCTCTAGCCCAGGTTGCTCCCAGCCCCAGCCTGACCTGGAACACTCCCAGGGATGGCTACTGAGATTGACAAAGAAGGCCAGGAACATTTAGCAAAGTATAAAAAAACAAAAAACAAAAAAAAACCCCGAAACTATTTGCAGCCTGTTCTGTCATTATAGAAGTGAGATAAAAAATCTACTGGGAGCTATAAATTGCTCTCAGGAGGAAGCACAGAGCCCAGGTACACTTTAAACTCTGGCAATCCAGCTCAGGGTAACAGGATGAAGCTTTGCTGAGTCACAGAAATGTTTCTTCCTGAGGCTACTTGAACAGATCCTAATGAGAAATGTGGGTTTCAGGATATCTAGGATAATGTGTTGAAAATATTGGGAGCCTGGGAGCTTCCTACCAGCCTCTCTTGGGAAGAAAAAGCAATGGAGCTGGGGAGTTTTAAAGCAGGAAACTTGATGGGAATGTGCCAGGTTAGTTATGCCTGGGATTAAGAGGATGAGCTTAAGTGCTTAGTTTATTTTTATCTGGCTGTATGTGCTTCCTGAGCACAGCCTTCATTCTGGCACCAGTCAGCAGCACTTCTGTGTGCAGGGGTAGTTTGGAGCTCTACCTAGCTAAGAAACAACTTGGAAACTAACCTAATCTTTAAAAATTCCAATCTAATCTTTAAAAATTGGAGTTTTCTATCTCCAGACCACTTTGAGCTTTCCACCTCTGGAAAACAGATGTAGCTGCTGGTGTGGTTTGCCAAAGTCACAGTTGTAATTTAGCAGCACAGAGGGCCAGGTGGCCATGGGGTATCCTCTTTGAGAACCCTTTCCCCTGCTGCTGAAATTCATCACAATTCCTTGGGAGTAATGCTGCCATTCCCAACCTCGTGCCATCATTCTCTGGCTGTGTTTCTCTTGCAGATGAGCATGTTAGCTCTTGTTCTTACTCAGGCACACTTTAAATGTGTCAGATTGGTTTTTTGTACTCATTTCTCCTACCTGAGCTGCACCATCATCAAGAGCTGTTGTTTTCACTCTGACACAGCAGAGTCTCCTTGCTCAGCACTGTTTCTGGGATGTAGGAATGTGCCCCTGTTCATGGAGTGACCAAACTATCCTTTGTCCCCTTAAAAAGGAAAAAAGTCCAGAAGTTTCTCTCCTCAGGTAAAAACACACCTCATGGGACCTTGGGGACTTCACCTCAAACTTAAGGATGCCAGTTGGACAAAAGCCAAAAGGTCCCACCTAAGCAATTCACTAGAAAAAGAAGAGAACAAAGGAATTAATCACTTTTGTGAGGTGTTTTACCAGGAGCAAGAGCCTCTTGCCCCTGGCTCGGGTTTTCTCTGTAAAGAGTCTTGTTGTTTTTCCTTTTATTAAAACTTTTCTGTTTCCAACACTACCACAAAAGCCGTCCTGCTGATTTTGTGCCTTCTAAAGTAGCTGAGCTATCTTAGGTGTAATATAAATCTCCAAGAGCTTATAAGACCTGGCTTGAAGAGACCATATATCACTGGGAATGGCTGGACAATCAGTGTGAGTCTCTTTGTGTGGAGGCAGTGAATATCTAGGAGGATAGTGAATATCTAACCTGGCTTCCTTTTCCAGGTATTACCCCTGCCTGCTGCCGGTTGTTTCAGAGCCCTGTGAGAATGCTGTGCCACTCAGGTACCCTCTGAGCTTGTCAGCCAGCCCGTGCAGTGCCCTGCAAGCCTTAGATTCAGCTCCTTTTAGTCCCCCTGGCCTGTCAGAGGATTGCTGGTTAGCAGTGACCTCTGAGCATCCTCACCCTCTGCTAACAACTGCTTCACACGTAGCCTAGGCAGCAGCTGGAGCCTTAGGTGTTCCTCTCCTCTCTCACTGTGATTTTCTCCCAAATGTGCTGGTCATTCCTGCTTTCTGGAGCTGGGAATTCATTGCTCACATCTGGCTCTGATAAGGAACAAGCTGCCGTTGTCTGACCGTCTGTGTGTTCATGGGGTGGGCTCAGGGAGGCAGTGACACTGCTCTGTGTCTTGTTGGTAAAACGGGGTTTTGGTTCAGCCAAAGTGAGCTGGGGGCTTACAAGGCCATGAGTAGTGCAGGAGCTGACCTGAGAGGAGCTGTGACAGCAGCTCACCCTGGTAAGTGCTGAGGAGCTGCTGGCCCCGTGGCTCTGGTTCTTCTGGAAAATAACATTTTCAGGATTAACACAAACAGTGGTGTGGGCAGAGGTAAGTTGGTGATAACAGCTGATTTAGTCTGTCCTGGGTGAATATAATCCAGGGGGTTCATTAAACTGAGGAAAAGGTTCTCTGTTCACAGGGAACAGGTGAGGGGCTTTTGTTTTTTCCATGCTTTGAGTTGGAAGATACCAGAGTCCCCAAGACATTTGGGATGGTAATGATGAGATGCAGCTGCTGTGGGAACATGGGTCTGGAAATCAGCCATGTGCCTTCCTACTGCAGAACAGGGAGATGTTGAATTCCAGAAGTTAGGGAAGTGTTTGTGAGAATTGTGAGTGAAAACTTGCCCATCCATGATTTCAGCAAGAGAGTTTCATGCCTGAGCAGTGTCAGTTGTAGAGTGTGGCACAGTGGCTTGGGGGTTCAGGAGGGAACAGATGCTGGTGCATCTTTCCTGCCAGCTCGTGGGATTTTGGTCCCTGTGGTTGGAAATCATGGTGAACACCTTCCTTCTCCATTTTTGTCCCCCACAGTACAAGAAAGGCGGTCCCATCATTGTAGTACAGGTGGAGAATGAATATGGTTCCTATGCCAAAGACCCAAACTACATGACCTATGTCAATTAAAAAATAAATTAAATGGATTTAAATCCACATTTGGGAAGGTCTCCAAACTGACTTAGAGCCTTCTGAGCAATCTCTATGCTCTGTAGGATCAAGAGTGTGGCTTGCCTGAGAAGCAGGCAGGTCACAGCTGGTCCTGCTGGGTGAGGTGCAATGGGTAGGACACATTCCTTCCCCAGGACTGGCTGCTCACACGTCTCCTTTTCTCTTCCAGGTTTAACTGGAGTGAGCTGACCCCTCTGGGGCTGTGGGGGAGGACCCTGGGCCTGCAGACAGAGAACTCCCAGTTCCTGCTGGAAGGGATGCCCTTCCGCATTTTCGGGGGCTCCATGCACTACTTCCGAGTGCCCCGCGAGTACTGGGAGGATCGGATGCTCAAAATGAGAGCCTGTGGCCTCAACACCCTCACCACGTGAGTGCCCTCCCTGCCCAGCCTCTCCACTGGGCCACAATGATGTATTTCCATGCTTCTTATTGTGGGAAAAGAATAGTGGGGTCTCAGTTTTTCCCTGAGCATGCCAGAGCTCACCCTTCACCTGCCTTTCAGGTACGTGCCGTGGAACTTGCACGAAAAGGAAAGAGGCAAGTTTGACTTCAGTAAAAACCTGGACCTAAGGTAAGTGGCACAGACAGCTCTGTTGTGAAATACTCCTCTTTGGAGGGCAGGGGGTGTGTGATGTTTGGGTGAAGATGTTATTTCCAGATGTGCTTTGATCAGGCAAAGGGAACTCCTTCCCCTTCCTCATCCTTCCCCTTCCTCATCCTTCTGGGGTTCTGGGAACTTAATCAATTTAGCACCAATCCAGTGTGGTTGCTTCATCATGCAATTCCCTTCTGCTTTGCTACCTAAATTCAGTGGTGATTGGAGTATTAGGGGTGGGGGTTCTGCAGCAGACAATAATTCCTGTGTCTGGATCCCCAGGGCCTTCCTTTCCCTGGCAGCTAAAAATGGCCTGTGGGTGATTCTGCGCCCTGGACCTTACATCTGCTCAGAGTGGGACCTCGGGGGTCTGCCCAGGTGAGTGTGGAAATTGTTCACTTCAGGGAAGCATCAGGGACAGACAAATCCCAAGCTCCTGATCACACAGTCAAGTCTCCTTCAAAGGAATTGCTTTGGAATGGCTGGCTTCTTGATGGGAATATTTATTTTCTGTGTTCCCAAGGCAGCTCATTATCTTATGGAGCTCTTCTAATTATATTTGTTTAGTGTGTAAAATAATAATAATTGTTTTGTGGTATAATGGTTACAGCAAGAAAATAGAATTGGAGGAACCCATCTTGCTGTTGCACCTTGACTCTGCATAACATGGACAGGATTTACAGCTTGGTGTAAGAATTTGCTCCATCTCAGCTCCATTTTAAAAGTGCTAGTAGAAATCTGCATTGTATGGCTGGCAGTAATGAAACCCCACAACTTTGCCAACCTCCTGTTGTGTTTTCCCTGAAGAACACAGCTGGAGGAGGCTCTGAGAGCTCTGGGACTTGCCTGGTTCCTGACTGGAGCCAGTGCCAGGTTACCACTTGTTTTCTTTACTGCACAGAGCACAAACCTCAGTGGAGATACTTGGGGATTATTTTTTTAACTTTCCACTTTTCACCTGCCTTTGACATCAGAGTTGAGGTGTTAGGGACTTAGTCCTGAGATCAGAGCTTCTCATGACCAGAGCCAGAAGCCACCTCCAGGTTAGATTATGAGAAGTGCATCTGTTGTCAGTTGTTTTCGCATCACCCATGTGGTTTTTGTATCAGACAGATTAAAAATTCTAATAAAGAGCAACAGTACTATTCTCATTTGCCAGCTAAAGAGGAGATTTTTTTTTAAGTCCACAAAGCCACATTTAGCAAAGAGATGAATATTCAAATCTTTGGAAAGATATTAGTTAAGGCCTCATTTTGCTGAGAAAAGGAGGATATAGGCTCATTCCCCTTAAATTGTTACAGCATTATATTGTTCTGCTCTTCAACAAATTGCCCTTTTTTCTGTTAACTTCAAACAGAACCCAGCCTTGTAAATCAGCAGTACAAACAGTAGGAACAATTACAGAAATCTTTTGTTTGAGAAAGGCTTGGGATTTTTTGAGGGAGCGCTTGGTTGTAGAGTGCCCTTGGGAATGCAGGGAATTCAATTTAGAGTGGTAAGATTAATCCTTGAAATATTATTGGTAGAGGTAATGAAATGAGTTTGGGCCTGAAATGCAGAACAAAAAGAAGAGGAAGAGACTGGGAATTGGATTTATTTAAAAGTGGGTGATGGACACGAGGTGTCATTCACAACTCGGGCTGTCACTGTGGGCTCTGCCAGGTGACACCAATGATCCCTGCCCAGGTGGGACTTGGTGCCAGTGGCTGAAATACCTCTGCTTGACTGGACAGGAGTGTGTAACACATCCCCTCTGCTGCTTTTCCCCAGCTGGCTGCTGCAGGACCCTGAGATGCAGCTGAGGACGACGTACAAGGGCTTCACAGAAGCTGTGGACGCCTACTTTGACCGCCTGATGCGCGTTGTTGTCCCTCTGCAGGCAAGCACTGATTTATTAAAAAAATAGATATGCATCTAGTACCAACATCCAGCTGTGAGGACAAAGACTCTCTAACAGTTTAAAGTTAGAAAGTGTATGTAATGTTTAGTGTGGGATAGCTCCCAAATACGCACGGCAATTCACAGGTGATTACAGAGTCCTTTTATCTATACAAGTGTTGAATACCCAAAATACAAATACAGATTCATCATTTTGGTACATCCCATTCCCTGCTTCGTAGGCTGATTAGTTCAAAAGCTATTAAGCATGTGTAGTTTGTTCCTTGAAATGGGTTGGGGGTCCCTTTCACGGGTCCCAAGATGAGGAAGTAAATGGAGTCTTCCTCGTTCTGACCTTTCTACCTTTTCAATGCAAATATGACAAATGAACCTTTGGAAGTACTCCCATTCCCTGTCTTCAATTGGTTTCAGAACAGAGGAGGCCCACAATTGTCTTATGTTCCTAAAAGCTATTTGTCAGTTTCTATATTCTTCATTATAAACCCAGCTAACCAAACATTGTGTTGACAAGCAATCAATTATTAGTTAACTACTAACTCTTATCTTCATCAAGGCCTACCTGTTTATTTTAATTAACTCCAGTAAAGGTTATCTCTAACTAAAATCTTAGCTCCTCTAAAATTTCTAAAATCCTCAGAGTTTATGTTTCAGCACCATCCTGGTCCCTCTGCAGGGCTGGGAGTGGTGACAGGGCACTATGGGCTCTGTGTGACAGAGCAGAGTCAGGCAATAACCAAAAACTGTTGCAAAAATGCACCAGTTTTGCTCCAGGAATCAGCACAAGCTGTAATTTCCTCTGTCAGTGTGGGAGGGTGGAGCTGAGTCCATCTGATGCTGGTGCATCTTTCCTGCCAGCTCGTGGGATTTTGGTCCCTGTGGTTGGAAATCATGGTGAACACCTTCCTTCTCCATTTTTGTCCCCCACAGTACAAGAAAGGCGGTCCCATCATTGTAGTACAGGTGGAGAATGAATATGGTTCCTATGCCAAAGACCCAAACTACATGACCTATGTCAAAATGGTAATGGTGGCACTTGTACTTGTTTCTGTGTCAATCTCTCCCATACATCACCTTCCCTACAGTGTTTTATTTTTTTCTGAGTGTGGTTTGAGAGACTCTTGAAAGCACCAGCTGTATTTTCCTTGGATGTTTCCTCCAGGAGTGGAAGAGTTGGCACATGACCCTCTCAGTGCTGATAAATCTGTGTTCTTATATCTTCCAGAGAAGAGGGAGATTGGGAGCTGGGGAGTGTCTGTATTGCACAGCTGGCCTTGAAGCAGCTCTCACCTGCAGGTCCTTTTTTGCCTCTCCTAGATGATATTTGATAAAGGTTTCCCTTTGTTAACTTTCCTGGCGGAAAAGTTGATGGGAACAAGTCACCAGCATGCTCCTAAACTTGTGTAATCTGGGCCTCAGCACTAGGCAGGTTAATTTGCCTAATGCCTCCCTTACTCCTGTCAAAAAGGGATTAAACTGTGCCCTGGCTGCTCTGAGTCAGGGACGAGGAGTTGGCCCATGCCCAGGGAGGCTGGATTATCCTGGTGGATCTCACAGCAGTCTGACCTGCTTGTTTGCCCCCAGCACCAGTGCAGGGCTGGCAGACAATGAGATCTGCAGTGTGCCTCACTGGGTTTGTTGTTTAATTTCTTCTCACTGAATGCTGGAAGGTATTGCTGCACATCAGGGGGGTCACCCATCTGGGCTTGCTCTTCTGCTACAGGATTATGGGATCCTTCTGAAAGCATTTGGGTACCCCTGAGCACCCTGAGGCTCAGGTTGTCCCATTGCTCAGGGAGTCCAGAGGCTCCTCAAACAGACAAATCCATGGCAGGAGTGCTAATCTCCTTAGGGCTGTGCCAGCTCCTGCACCGACTCCAGCTCGTGCCGTGGTTTAACTCCCCTTACAAGGTTAAATATGAAGTTTGTACACAAACAAATTAGAGATAATGGCAAGCAAGTGATTTTCAGAGCCCTGAATGAAGGGGACACAGAGACTCTGGGGGTTTGAGCAGCCTGCAGGCTTGGCCTTGCTTTCCAAGGCTTGGTGAGGAAAGAGTTTGTGCTGTCTCAGACTTGTCAGGACACATCTCCCTGCCAGCCTGTGGGTGTATTTTTGCAGTGCTGTTTCATCATATTCTGGGATTGTGTGCAATTTGCATCTGAGGCAGTATAAAATAGTGGTTGGAGATGAAAATGTGGGAAAGCAGGATTTGCAGGGCTTTGTTTTTGGTTGGAGTGGGTTGTGATGTGAGGTGGGGTTCCGAGTCTTTGTTCTGTTTGTGGCAAGGTGATTCATTCACATCTAGCATCTGTGACCAAGTTGCATCTTCCAGGAATTAATAAACTCATTAAATAACACCCACAGCTCACACAAAACCTCAGCTCCCTGTGCTTACCTCCCTTTTTGGGTGCAATGCCTTTGCCTTCATAAAAGTGACAGGATGTATTGACATGGCCCTTCCCACTCAGGCTTTTATGAAGTGACATCCTGTCACTTTTATGAAGGCACCTTCCCTTTGCCTTCATAAAAGTGACAGGATGTATTGACATGGCCCTTCCCACTCAGAACTGAGCTTCTATTTCTGCTGCTCTGCTGCTCTCTGGGAGGCACTGAACGTGTGGCAGCTCTGCTCTTCCTCTGTTTTGCATTTACACTCAAAAGGAGGGTAAGAAACTTAGCATTAATGCAGTGCTCAAAGAATTACCTTGGTAAAATTGGCTAGAAATTCCGGTTCCCTCAGCAGCTGAATTTTGTCAGAAGCCAGCATCTGTTCAGGTATAAATTTGGTGGGGATGGGTTGATAAAGTCACCAGCTTGTCCTGCCTCTGGGCTGGGTTCGTCTGGAGGCTCTGTGTTGCAATGTCTCATGCCCAGCTCTGCTCTTAATGCAGGCAGGGACAATAAACAAAGGGTTTTATCACATTTCACAATTAGTAATCTAGACTGAAGAGACTGAAGCCTTGTTCTCAGAGCTCCTGGGAGCTGGAGGAGTGACTTCCAGTGGAGGTGCAGTGAAATGAGTGGTTAATTAACAACTGATCTCCTCCAAACATCAGACATTGTTCGGTTCAGGACCAGCTGCAAGAGAACAATCCTGATGGGAGGAACCTCATGTGTGCAGGTGGATTTTAGAACCTTAAAGTGCTGTTTCCTCTGGAGCTGTAACATTGAGGAACCACTAAATTCATTGATTTTTGAAAAACATTTGTACCTGAGCTGTCCTGTGGTGGAAAAATCAGCTCTTCCCTCTTTTCAGCTCTCGCTGTCAGGCAGTCAGAAGCCTGAGCTGCTTTTCCTTTCCTCCTTCCACCTGAATCCCTCTTTTGATGAAGGCAGTGAAGCTGTTTATTACCTTGATCTCAGAAGCTAAAATCCTGAAGTTGGATGCATCAGTGAGAAACCAATCCAGCTTTCTAAAACAAAATAAGATCTTCCAGTGGTCTTTAAGCTGGGAAAAGTAGGCAGGGAAGCTTCAGGAGGAATGGGAGATGTCACAGGGATAATACTTATTACAAGGCACTGCCAGTTGCAGGCTGTCCCCACAGAAGGTGATGCTGTAGTGCTTTAATATCCTGGGAAATGCTCAACTCTGTTAACACAATGGCTTTTGCTCTTTTTGACCTAGGCCCTGTTAAACAGAGGGATTGTGGAGCTGCTGATGACCTCAGACAACAAGAATGGGCTGTCCTTTGGCTTGGTGGAAGGAGGTGAGTGCTTGTAGAGCTGAGGAAGGAAAACAGGACTTTAATTCACCCTCTGCACCCCCTGAGTTCTGTTTGTGGCAGGAGGGACCCCTTGGCTGGATGGTGCAGCCAGGACAAACCCAAACCCCTCCCAGAAAGGTTTAGAATGGTTTATTTTCTACATGAAGTGTAACACTGTGTGAAGGGATGGGCATCTGTACTTCCCACTGAGTCAGGAGATGGCAGCACCCAGCGTTTCTTAATGTTTCACCTGACTACAAAGCTAAAAATGCTACTTTTTGCTTCATTTCAATAGATACTGAACAAGTTCCTCAGCAATTACTAACAGTAGTAACTCCTTCCTAAGGCAGATGCTTTGCAATTAAAAAGAGAATGAAAAAAAGGTCCATTAAAACCTTGATTTTGAGTTCTACATTTAAGCAGTAAATTTAGCAATAGTTTGTGGGGCAGCATTATCTTCTCAGCAAGCTTATTTTGGGGTGTAAAACCTTAGGTGGGCAAAGGAGGGTGCCAGTTATATAGAATGCAGAAAGATGCCCATTTCCCTTTTATGAAGTATAATTCTAATATGTTTTTTAAATACTGCTTAGCACCCTCCTCTTTTTTCCTGTGAAGAAATGGAGGTGCAGCTGCTTGAGTTTCACTGTGCCCTAAATCTGTCTGATTGGGGCACTGATTCTCAGAATTTTGGGTAATTTCAGCTGGGATTTACTCTGTTCTTGGCCTCTGCTCTCTCCTATGTTCCTGCCAATTGCCTGGGGTGTAAATACTCCCCAAATTTAGTGTTTGCAGAGTACAGCCTTTGAATGCTCCTGTTATCACTCAGGTATAAATAATGTTAAATTTCCAGTCTCAGGCACAGAGATGATTAAAGGGAAAGACTTCCTCCTCCTTTTTTTTTCCCTCCTTTTGCTTTTCCATGTCAGTATGAGAGGGATAAATTCATTTACTGAGTCATGGGCCTTCACCAGCATGGTGAAAATATCTTGTGGATGTTTTTGGATGTGCAGCAGTTTTCAGCTGTGACCACACAGAGTCACTCTCTGCCTGCCACTGAGCTGTCAGGAGAAGGAGAAAGGAGAAATCCCTGCCTTGGCCTCATCTCCTGAGGGATGTTGGCAGCCTCAGAGCTCCTCATCGTTTGGGAGCTCTTTGATCCCAGTTTGCCTCTGGGATGTCACAACCATCTGTTAAAGCCAGCATGTCACTGATCACAGAATTCACAGAATGACCAGGCTGGAAGAGACCTCCAAGATCATCGAGTCCAGCCCAGCCCAAACAACTCACCTAAACCCTGGCCCCCAGTGCCACATCCAGGCTTTGTTAAACACCCCCAGGGATGGTGACTGCACCACCTCCCCGGGCAGCCATTCCAGAACTTTATCACCTTTCTGTGAAAATCTTCTTCCTGCTATCCAACCTGTATTTCCCTTGGTGCAGCTGGAGGCTGTGTGCTCCGGCTCTGTCAGTGCCTGGAGAAAGAGCCCAGCCCCAGCTGAGCACAGGCACCTTTCAGGAGCTGTGCAGAGTGAGGAGGGCACCCCTGAGTCTCCTTTTCTCCAGGTGAGCACCCCCAGCTCCCTCAGCCATTCCTCACAGATGTGTGGGATAACCAGGGCTCCAAGTGAGGAGCAGCAGGGTGGTGAGGAAGGGGTTAAAGGAGTGGCAAGAATCCCTCCCCATCCCTGGAAGTGTCCAAGGCCAGGCTGGGCAGGGTTTGGATCAACTTGGGATAGTGGGAGGGGTCCCTGCCATTCCAGGATGAGTTGAAGGTCCCCTCCATCCCAACCCAATCTGATTCCAAGAATCCTGAGCTGGTCTGACCTGGTGAAGCCCTTCTGGGAGCTGATGGGTGACAAAGCCTCTGCTGTCTCTCCAGACCCTGGTGGGATGCCCTGTGTGCGTGGGTGTGGGAAGAACATCCCACGAGAAGGATAAATAAGGCTCTGGGAATGGTTCTCTTTTCCATGGGGTGCTGTTAATCTGCATGAAAAGCAGAGCTGGGCATGTTCTCCTTCAGAACTGCCAGCTCATGTATTACATCAGTGCTAAATCCACGTTTTATTTTGTTCTCCTTTTGTGTTTTCTGTGCTGAATTCTCCAGCTCAGCTCACTACATAGGTCAGCCTATTAGAATCAAGGTATAAATAGTGAGAAGTGAGCTTTTCCTTCTGTAAATATTCTGTTTGAAGTGCTCTGCCTGACACAACTGGGGCTGGGTTTGATAGCAGCTCTCTTGTTAGAAGTCAATTTTTAATGCTGAATCACATCATCGCTGCTGCAGAGTTTGTCTGGGAGAAATATCAGCGTGACTGAGGGCTGGGAGATACAAAAATGGTTGAAATGCTTACCAGGGGCTGGCACACTGATCCCAGATTAGGGTCTCCTGTCCTGCAGGAGGTGTTCCCTCTCAGAATCCCAGAACGACCAGGTTGGAAGAGACCTCCAAGATTGTCAGACTGAAGTTACTGCAGAGCCTGAGGACGGGCAGAAGCACAGAGAACTCTTCAGTTGCAGCTCTCTGTGGCTCTCCTGCCCTGTGGCTGCTCTGGCTCACCCCCACAGACATGACAAGCTGGAGGATATTGTCTGGGAAGGGATTCCTGCAGCTAAAGCCTGGGAGAGCAGTGTGCCATCCAGACAGGACTTGGTAATAAGTTTGCCTTTATGTGGTGCCTTTTAAGTGAGGATCTCCAAGTGCTTTACAGGCTCTAATTAGAGCTGGTGACACCCCAGGAGCTGCTCTGATGCTCTCTCTCTCTAATATCTCTGCACATTAGAGCTGAAAGATGGCCTGGGAGGATTCCACTCTGTGCTGTGGTTCACTTGGATTCTGCATAGCAAGTGAAGGCTTTGATGGGGACTTTGTGAGGAGGTTGTTTTGGGGTGCAGAAGGTGTTGCAGTTCCCTCCCTCTGGGCTGAGGAGATGATCCCCTAGACATTTTGGATGAGTCTAAATTAATGCATTTTTCCTTTCCCACTAGCACTGGCCACTGTTAACTTTCAGAAGCTGGAGCCTGGGCTGCTGAAATACCTGGACACAGTACAGGTGAGCTGCAGAAATACTTGGTTCATCCATGTTTTCCAGCCCTGGAAGTGAAGCACTGATACTCTCTTTGGGATTTGTGTGTTGGATCAGGGCTTCCTTCTCATGAGGCCAAATCCTCCTGGAATCAGGGAAGGAGGATTTAAGTGTCCTGTTGTCCTTCTAAAAAGGCTTTTCATTGTTAACTGGTAGGGGTTAGACTTCTTCAGGTGATACCCAGAGCATCCCAGTGCACAATTGTCAGATCTCTCTTGAATTTCCATCATCTTTTTCCCAAGCCCTTTCACCCTGGTGCTGTGGGTGCTCTTTGCTGACGTGCTGCAGCTGTGTCTGTGCACTCTGATGGCTGTTCACCTCATTCAGGGTAGATTTATGAGGTTTTACTGTGCCACTTGAGCATTTTTAACCCCTCTGTGCTGCAGAGGTATGCCTCAGGGAGGGAATTAATTAATTAATGAACACTTGGTGTGAACAGTGTCCTGATTGTGATGAGGGAGTGGCAGGTTTTGGGGTTAGTGACAGGTTATCTCTCTCTTTACCCCCTCCGTGTCCTCTTTCCCTGTGCTCTGCTTGCTGCAGGTGAAGGATGTGAGCAGCTGAGATCTGCCCCCAGCCCTGATCAATTCTCTTCTCACCTCTTGGCTTTTGCCTGGCTGTGGAGGGAACCCTGCTGGCATGCTGGATGTTCAATCCTACAGCTTGCATTTGTTTTCTTTCCCTCTGCTGGCAAAAGAGGCTCTGCTGGAAGTGCTTCCACCTCCTTTAGGTCTGCCAAAACTGCCCAAACCTTGCAAATGAACAGAAGGTGGCACCTTCCCCACCACATGTGGCCCCAAAGGAGCAGCTCCTCCTTTGCCACAGCAATTTTGGGAGAGGAAGGGTTTGTAGGGGTTATGAAGCTGCTTCATCTTTTCCTTGTCATGGGTTTTTGTTCCAGAAGGTGATAAAATCCCTTCTTTGACTGGTTCACTGGGGATGGACTGATTAAATGTATTTCCAGGGATGTTTAGATGATTACAGGCTGTTGTTTTCTCCTAATGAAACACGAGTTTCTTTAATGCCACTTACCTCAGCCAATTCCTGTGGCATTAACAAAACCCCTATCACAAAATTGCCTGGAATTAAAGCCCAGGAGGCTGGAGGGGCAGCCAGGCTGAGCACACAGTGCCCTGCCCATGCCACGGGGACAGGAGGGATCCTGCAGGGCCTCAGGGATCTGCCAGGCAGTGACAAATGGGAAGCAATTGCTCTGTGTGCAGAGCCTTTAATGAAGACCTAATTCCTGCAAATTCTTCCCTGCCAGCACCATATGCAGCATTAAAAAGGCATTAAAGCAGCTCAGGTCTGCTGCTGTACCTTGGCAAGCACTGGCTGCCCTGCACCTGCAAGCTCTCAGCTGGCAGTGGCGTGGCAGATAAGCAGACATTTATAAATGTGTGTTTTCAGCAAGAACTAAACACTGACAGTTGGTTTGTCCCTTTGCTACAGCTCTCCAAACAGCAGCATCCAGCAGTGTTTGACAGCACCTGATTGTGTGCTCTGTGCTTTGTGATTAGCAGAGGCACAAAGCTTTGCTTGCCTGTTCTGGGCATTGCTGGACCGCAGCTTCTTGTTCTTCACACACCCAGAGCTCCTTAGGTGCCTTTTTGGCTGTACCAGTTGAGAAGAAAACCCTCTGTAAAACCATAGCACCACGCTGTCACCCTGTTCTTCTGAGCCTTCTCATGTTGGCATTCTTGTAATGGAGTTTCTCACACATTTTCTGTGAATAATGATTGTTTTTACATTCCTCTCTGGAGGAGGAGAAATTTGATAGACTCTTAGTTTGTCCAGTGTCCTTGAAGAGGTGACAATTTCATCCTCCAAACCACTGTCACCTTTGGAAGTCTACAAATATTGGATTCAGGAAATAAATTTCCCTTCTTACCTTGGAGTTCCAGTGTCCATGTTGTTTTATTTAGTGTCTTAGTGTGACACCACGCTGGGTTTGAACAATGCTGCTCTAGAAAAAAAGTGGTGACTGCAGGCCCGTCCTGAATCTATTTTAACTTTGTTTTTCTCTTGACAGAAAGACCAGCCTAAGATGGTGATGGAGTACTGGACGGGGTGGTTTGATAACTGGCTTTGGAAGTCTATAAATACTGGATTCAGGAAATAAACTTCCCTTCTTCTTCTTACCTTGGAGTTCCAGTGTCCATGTTGTTTTATTTAGTGTCTTAGTGTGACACCACGCTGGGTTTGAACAATGCTGCTCTAGAAAAAAAGTGGTGACTGCAGGCCCGTCCTGAATCTATTTTAACTTTGTTTTTCTCTTGACAGAAAGACCAGCCTAAGATGGTGATGGAGTACTGGACGGGGTGGTTTGATAACTGGGGAGGCCCTCACTATGTCTTTGATGCAGATGGTGAGCACCTCGTGTGGCTTGGGGGGGTTCTGCTCTTCAGCCTCAGGGACCTGTGCCTGGTCTGCCTCAGCACCTACGGGGTTAACCTGGTGCTGCTGGGGCTCAACCTGCACACAAAACCGAGTGAAAACACCCAAAAATGAGAGAGGGGACCTGTGCCTGATCTACCTCAGCACCTACAGGGTTAACTTGGTGCTGATGGGGCTGGACATGTGCAGCTGGAAATTACACAAAACCGAGTGGAACTGACCTAAAACTGAGTGAAAATTACATGAAACCACCCAAAACTGAGTGAAACCGACTCAAATCTGAGAGAAAACACCAAAAACTGAGTGAAATCTGCCTGAAACTGACTGAAACCCACCCAAAATTGAGTGAAACCACCAAAAACTTCCTGAAGCTGACAAAAAAAAAAAAAAAAAAAAACCTGAGTGAAAATGACCTAAAACTGGGGGAAACCACCCAAAATTGAGTGAAAAGAACCAGAACTGCATGAAACTAACCTGAAACCCACCCAAAACCGAGTGAAACTGCCAGGAAAATTAACCCACAAACACCAGAGGTTGATGTCGAAAAAGGAGACAGAGGAGTCCTGGAACTTTATTCCAATCAAGGCAGAGGCCATGGGGCATTCCCCTGGGGTCTCTCCAATTTTTGGAGGACTCAGCCTCCTTTTAATCCCGATTTCCCAGCCACATTTCCCTCTCTCTTCCCCACTGGCTCACAGCCCCCTGTGAGTGCAGCACCTTCTCCCGAGTTCAGAGCTCATTTGGAAGGTTACTACTGAAAAAACAAACCCCCAGGGCATCTGAAGAGCAGTGAAAGCAGAGCTGTACAGGACTGGTTTAACGACTCTCATTCTTCTGCAATTGTCTTTGTAATTGGGTCATTAGGAGTCTGGCTGAGGAGTCCTTGCAGCTCTTCTTAAAAGCAAAATTCCTGCTGGAGGCCTCCAGTTTTACCCTTTTGTCACCTGGAGGAGAGGATTATTTGAATGTATTAGATATTAAATATTTAATACGTTCAAATAATTTTGTATTTTTTAATAGTACTAAATAAGTTTGGTATTTAAGTGCATCAGTAGATGTGCTGCCCCTTACTGAGGGCAAGATGGAAATCCCAACACAAATCACTGTGACTGACAGAACGTGGCTGATTTTAATTCCTGGCCCAGATTTGTGTCTGTGGCCTCCCTGGCACTGCAAAAAAAAATCTCTTTTTTTTTGCAGAGATGGTGAATACTGTAGCAAGCATCCTCAAAACAGGAGCATCCATCAACCTCTACATGTTCCACGGAGGCACCAACTTTGGTTTCATGAGCGGGGCGTTGGAAGCTGATGAGTACAAGTCAGATGTCACCAGTTATGGTGAGTTTGTTGTCACTGCCTTGCCTGTGCAGCTCTGGCTGCCCTGGGCTGGTCTGAGAAGGCATCAGCACAGCCACTTTGTCCTGAGAGATGAGGTAGGACAGCCCAGAAGTAAATTCCTGTTTAAAAGAGAGCTTACATGAGTGTTTCTAATTCATTCCCAGCCATTCCAGGAAGTGGGGGATTCCCTTATTCTGAATTGTAAACAGAGCTGTCACAGATGATGAATTGATATCTCTTTTTTCTAGGGACACATGGTGATCCAAAAAACCATTTTTTAAATTTACCAAGTCAAATTTTACTATAAATCTCTTTTCATCTCAACAGCCCGTGGTTAAAACGGTTAATTGTTGACTTTATCCTCTGGGAAATTCTGGATGTGTGCAAATTAGATCTCTGAAAGTGTGAATGGCTCTTCTCTAATTTAAGGAATTTTGTGGCTGTTTAGTGATGTTCACTCAGATTAAAGTGTACAGATTTCCATACTCTAGACAATGCCATGAAAATTGTGCCTGGGGTTTTTATTTCTTGCATGAAGCCATCCCAGAGCTGCTTTATGTTTTTAAAACACGTGCTGACGTTCTGCTTTTCCAGATTATGATGCTGTGCTGACAGAGGCTGGGGACTACACATCCAAATTCTTCAAGCTGAGACAACTCTTCAGCATGGTCATTGGTAATTACCCAATTACTAATTGGTAATTACCCGGGAGCCACTGCACTGTTCAGTCAGGGAATTATTGAAACTGGCCCTGCTGGGACTCTGCTTGGTTGGGAATTATTGAAATTGGCCCTGCTGGAGATTCTGCTTGGTTGGGAATTATTGAAACTGGCCTTTCTGGAGCTCTGGTCAGTTGGGAATTATTGAAACTGGCCCTTCTGGGACTCTGGTCAGTTGGGAATTATTGAAACTGGCCTTTCTGGAGCTCTGGTCAGTTGGGAATTATTGAAACTGGCCCTGCTGGGGCTCTGCTTGGTTGGGAATTATTGAAATTGGCCCTGCTGGAGATTCTGCTTGGTTGGGAATTATTGAAACTGGCCTTTCTGGGGATTCTACTTGGTTGGGAATTATTGAATCTGGCCTTTCTGGGGCTCTGCTTGGTTGGGAATTAAGGATAGGAGGAGCAAAGGAGGTCTGGGATGGAGGTATCTTGAATTCAAGGGAGGGATCTTGAATTTGTGTTGTCTGAAATCTTTGTTCCATCTTTGTTTCTGCACCCCAGGCCAGCCTCTTCCTCTGCCTCCCATGATTGAGAGCAAGGCCTCCTATGGTGCCATCCTCTTGCACCAGTACATCTCTCTCTGGGATGTGCTGCCAGCACTTCTGCAGGTAGTGACACCTCTTTTAATGCATGCCACACCTAAAAGGAATCAACTTTTAGAGCAATTTGTGCTCTGCCTCGTTATCCCAAAAGGATGAGGTTGGGGGAATTTTTTAATCAAGGTTATGGAAGAGCAGTGAATGTTTTATCTCAGCTTTGTCACTGCTCGTTCTCTTCTCTTGGAATTGCACTTTTGCAAGTCCTTGGCTCCTTTTTCTGGTACTTGGGTCAGGAGGGATTTTGGGTTGGACCAGAGCTGGGAGGCTCTCACCTGTGGCAGAGTGAAGCACCTGCTTTAAATGAGCTGCCCCTACAAGACTTTCCACTCCTGATGCTCAATTTGCTTCTCCTCTGCAGCCCATTAAGTCAGAATTCCCTGTGAACATGGAGAATCTGCATCTGAACGACAGCATTGGGCAGCCCTATGGATATGTGCTCTATGAGACTGTCATTTTTGGGGGGGGACACCTGCACACCAGGGACCACGTCCGGGACCGGGCACAGGTAGGGGCACGGGGCTGGGTGGAGCCAGGGAATGGGGAGAAAACATGAAATTTCCACTTCTCACCTAAGCCCCAAACCATTACAGCTTCTAATGAAATTTCCAGTTCCACTTTGCTAAAACTTGTAACATCTTTAAACATCAGAATGCTGAATGTTCTGAGAATATTTCGATTATTTTATTCCCACCTGCACTGACAGTGGCACAGTTATGGACACTTGAGTTCTAGGTTCCAGCAGAGACATTTTCCTGCCCAAATCCAGCTGGAGGGATGTCATTGTGACATCATTGATGAGCAATTGCTCTGCTCAACTTCCAGTTGCTAATTTCCAGTTCCACTTTGCTAAAACTTGTAACATCTTTAAACATCAGAATGCTGAATGTTCTGAGAATATTTCGATTATTTTATTGCACTGACAGTGGCACAGTTATGGACACTTGAGTTCTAGGTTCCAGCAGAGACATCTTCCTGCCCAAATCCAGCTGTGATTATGACATCTTTGATGAGCATTGCTCTGCTCTCCTGTGCTCTGTTCTGCAGGTGTTTGTTAACACCATGTATGTGGGGGAGCTGGACTACAACACAGTGGAGCTCTCCATTCCTGAGGGACAGGTAACTGCAGGGGATTGCTCAGGGTGTGGATGGCAAGGTCACTGAAGAGGGAGAAGTCTCAGAAAGGCTCCTCCTCCTGACCCAGACTAGCTTGGTACCCTAATCAGACACAAATTGTGGGATTTTACTGCCAAGTTACCATTTGGGATAGAAAAGTGGGGTCTGAATGCTTTTCCATGGACAAAATTCAACTTATTGCAGCCCTTGCTGCACAAAATCTGCCAGCCTTCTTGCACAGCCACAACCTTGAGTACCTGTACCCTGTTTTTGCAGGTTAAATCTCTGCAGGCTTCTTCTTCCTTAGCACAAAGCAGGTTTTAAGGGGCTTTGGAGGCTCTTGGGTCTCAAATTAAATGAGGGGGAATGTCTGTGTTTAGCTCTGAGAGCAGTTTCACCCTGGCAGACCTGGCACTGTATTGACTGGGCACATTTCACCAGGGCTGTGGTGGCTGTGGGGGCAGGTGAGGGGTGGATGCACTGTTGTACTTAAGGCTTGTGGGAGAGTTTATGGCACAAGCCTGTCCTGTGTCAAATTCTATTTCTGGCTCTGTGGGTGCTATTAAAATGGGAACTAAAAATTCAAGATAAAAAAAAAACCAAAACAACCCAGAAATCTGTGCAAAGGCTGTGAGTTCCTCACTGTTTGCAGTAGAGAACTGTGGGAAAGACAGAAACTTCTACAGATACAGGAGGGTCTGATCTGCAGCCTTGGAAGGAGCTGGGATTGATGTGAAAGTAAAGTACACAAACATTAATTAGAAAAACTATAAACTTATGTTTCTATAGTTGTAAGTAAGAATATGCTTTAAGTGAGTGAGAAACTGCATTGGGTAAGATAGTGAAGAGTTTGTAATGTAGGAAACTGCATTAACAAGATAATTAAGGGTTTGTAATGTAGGAAACTGCACTGGGTAAGACAGTGAAGGGTTTATAATGTAGGAAACTGCATTGACAAGATGGTGAAGGGTTTATAGTGGAGGGGTGTGGTTGTATAGAATAAAGTAAGAGTTTAAAAGTTACAGCAGAAGCATCTGTGTGGATGTGAGACAGAAGCCTATTAAGTAAAAGTATCCACAGTGCAGTAGAACTGAAGAAAGGTGATAAGTTAGTAAAGCAAAATAAACCTTGTAGCATGTGTCCATTAGATTAGAAAATTATGTATTGTCTTGTAACAAAGAACTTGTCACTGCTTTATAGCCAGCTACTCACTCCTTTAGAATCTCACAGCCTCTGAGACTGGTGTTTATCTAAACAAGAAATCCTTAGCCAAGGATAGTCCCATTCCTTCATTAAGCTACACAACCTTGTGGGCAGTCAAACTGCAGGAGCTGACTCTAAAACTCCCTAGGTGTGTCACATTCTGCTGAGGAAGTGTGGAAGGTTGTCAAGGCACATCAGTGCCTAAATCACTGTGACCATAATTAGAATAAATGTTTCTTTGTCTAAAACTATTAAGAACCTTAAGAACCATAGGGGCTCAACTCTTTTGCACACATCACAAATACCTGGAAGCTTTTTGAAATAGCCACAGCTGTGACTGTTAATTTCTTTTAAAACCAACCTCTCCAGCACAGCTCTCGTGGTGCTGGACAGGACTGGGAGTTGGTGGGAATTGTTGAATGTTCTGAGAATATTTTGATTATTTTATTCCCACCTGCACTGACGGTGGCACAGTTATGGACACTTGAGTTCTAGGTTCCAGCAGAGACATTTTCCTGCCCAAATCCAGCTGGAGGGATGTGATTATGACATCTTTGATGAGCATTGCTCTGTTCTGCAGGTGTTTGTTAACACATGTATGTGGGGGAGCTGGGCTACAACACAGTGGGAATGTGTTAAAAAACAGCCTCACCCTTGTCTGGAGTGATCAGAGAAAAAGCAGTGGCTGCTCAGTGTCCTGCACCAAGGTTATTTTATAAGGGTACAGCTGAACCCAGGGCTATCAATGAATCTTGCTCTGCCCTAGGTTTCCTAGGTGATGCTCAGCTCCCTTTCTCTTGCTCTGTGAGCATATTACTTCACAGGGAGGGAAGGAAAATACCTTTTTTAATCTGTGTTGTCCCTGGAGGGGTTGATATTGGAGAATCACACCATTTAAAAGCTCACACAATGTCAGGAGGAGGGAACTGCATCCCCTGGAGCAGAATTGACTGAAATGCTCAAGCCTATCACACACAGTGGTGAAGCTGGAAGGGTTTGATTCTATTTTAGTGGGGAACTATGTGCAAAAGCTCTACAAAATAGATTAATGGAGTCAGGCACGTGACTGTATAGATTTTATTTAATGCAGAAACGTTGCATAAACCTCAGTGCTGCCCAGGCAGCCTCAGTGCTGTGATTAGCAGCAGGCTTTGCCTGCTTCATAGAGAGCAACTTCAACAAAAGGCTGCTAAAGGTGAATGACTTCTTCAGGTGCCTTAAAATCCTGGGATGAAAAGCCCCGAGCAGCCCTGGGCGTTGTTGCTGGCTCAGTTATGTTTTGCTGTGCCTGTTAGAGAAGTGATTGACTGCATTAAAAAATTCTGTGCATGGTCAGCTCCAACCCCACAGTCCCCAGAAGCCCCAGGTGCTGCCTGTGCCAGCACATCCCAGGGTGTTCTGCTGGGAGGGAAAGGAGAGAATGGAGAGGGCAGAGTTTAGAGATGCTCCCCACTCAATCTGCATGAGCAATGGGACCATATGGACTCTAATTCCATTGCAGAACGTGGCTGCTTTCCATCTCCTGCTGTTCCTCAGATCCAAATAGCAAAATCCATCAGCTTTAGCTGTTCCTCAACTCCTCATTACCCCCATTGCTCTCACAGGCTTAATTGGTGACGTCTTCTTGAATAAAACCCCCTTGAGGAACTTCAAGATTTACAGTTTGGAGATGAAACCTGCCTTCATGAAAAGGTTTGTGGGATTTTAACCTTTATTTTTTTCCTCCTTCATTTCAAACCACCTGTTTTCCAGCAGCGCAGTGTCTAATGGGGAGCAGCTAAATGAGGTAACAGTGGGGAGGTGGATTTTTGCACTGATAGTTTTGTTGCTGCTTTTGCCTGAAATAGTGCAGGAACTGGTGCCAGCTGATCCATACCATCATTTAGGGAGAAATCTAATCCCACGGTGCAGGGTTTAAAGATTTCCTTGCAGCAGGGTGAGATCAGGTAGGTAAATCCAGGCTTGTCCAAAGGGAAGGATCCCCTCACACCCACATGTTGGAAATTTTAGGTCTTTCTGGAAATTACCAATCTGGCTGATATATTTAGTAATTCAGCCTGGCAAGGGATGGATTAATTCTAGAAAGCTACTGATAGTGCATTAACAATCCAGATGGCTCCCTCTCTTTTATGTTGTTTTGCTTTAATTCAGGGGAGGAAATTTAGCAGGGGGATGTTGAAGAGCCTCTGTCAGCACACAGAGAAAACCTCAGCAAATGTTTCAGGCAGCAGATGCCCTATGGACTCTGGCCACAATCCAGAGACACTCTTTTCAGTGATGTTTTTAATACCAGCAAGCAACTTAGGTCCATCCCCCAAGATATCACAGCTGCCCCATTCTGTGTAGGAGGGAGAGAGAGAGGCCACGTTAAACCCAAAAGGCTTTTAAAAGGAAAAAAGTTCACATTCTGAAATGCCTAAGGGCAGTTTTACCAAGTGCTGAGGGGATTCTTATTGATGGGGTAACTCACAACCTTTTGGACTGCAGGGTGTTAGAGGAATATTTCCAGTGAGGAGCATTAAAGCAAGTGAGCTGCCATGGCCAAACAAAAGCAAGATTAGTCACCACTACCCTCAGCTCCTGGCTGCTGACCAGCAGCACTGAAACACAATCAGCTCACAGTCCCCTCGGGGGAGGAGGGAGAGGAGTGTTGTGAAAGGAGCTGTCACAGGCTTTTAGTTGAATAATTCAGTAGCAGCCAGGCTGCACTGGATCAATAACTTCCCCCAGTCCAAGAGATGCAGTTTGTAAGGGCTGTAGGGAACATGTTCTTACAGGAGCTCAAGGCTTCTGTGGGATTCTGCTCTCCTTATTTCCTCTTCTGCTTGTGCCCTGCTCCCAAATTGTTGCCACAGGTAAGAAGTCATGTCAGATTTCCCCTAATTACTGCCCACTTGGACGGATGTGTTTGTGTCCCTCGCCAGGAGCCGTGGCAGGAATGTCTGGTTTGAGTCCTGTCAGTTCTGCAGTCTCCTTTAGCAAGCCACAGACATTTCAAGCACCCTGGCAGATCTGAAGGATCCTCAGCAGCCAACGTGAAGCAGAGCTTTTATCCCAGAATGGTTTGGGTGGAAGGGACCTTTAAGATCCTCTCACCCCACCCCTGCCATTGGCAGGGACCCCTTCCACTATCCCAGGGTGCTCCAACCTGGCCTTGGGCACTTCCAGGGATCCAGGGCCAGCCACAGCTTCTCTGGGCACCCTGTGCCTCACCACCCTCACAGGGAAGAATTTTTTCCTAATATCCAATCCAAACCTGCTCTCTTCAAGCCTGAATCCTCTCCCCTTTGTCCCGTCACCACTCGCTCTTGTAAAAAGCATTGAGGCCCCAGAGGTGGTGACAGCCCCAGGTGTCCTCCTCTTGCAGCACAGCTTGTCCTGCCGGGGCTGTGGGTGGTGGGGACAGAGGCAGGTGGCCCCTGTGGGTGGTGGGGACAGAGGCAGGTGGCCCCTGTGTGTGATGTGTCCCTCTGTTGCAGCTTGCAGCACGTGTCTGGCTGGAGCACGGTCCCGGATTATTTCGTGGGGCCGGCGTTCTTCCGCGGGAGGCTGTGGATAGAGCAGCAGCCACAAGACACCTTCTTGAAGCTGCAGGCAAGTCCTGGTTGTTCTTGGTCAAGTTTTTTTTTTTTTTTAAAAAGCTGGTTAGAGAGACTTGTGCAACAGCTTTGACTGATCTCTGTGTCTGTAGACTCCCCCTCTCTCTTAGGGCATTATTCTGAGGGTCTCCTCCAGGTAATTCTGCTCAGTCTGGAGAGGTCCTGTGAGAAAACTGACCCTGCAGAGCTGCCAGTGACCACTTCAGCCCTTTTTTACTGGCATGCAAATGCTGTTTTCTAGTTGCAGAGGAGCAATGGGCACAGAAAATAAAGGAGGGCCTTGTTTTATTCCTGTCTCCTCAGTGTGACATGGAAAGAGTCACTTCTTTGTGGCCATGGCATGGGAGTTAGCATTCCTGTCATGCTTCTGTTGGAGACTGCACAGAACTTCAGATGAGGTTTTAAATATTATTAAACTTCCTCCTCTGATTTCCCTTCCTTAGAGCCAACCTTCTGCCCAGCCTTACTGTCCTGCTCACTTTCCCATGGACTGGGAAAATTATATTTGCTGTAAATCAGGCCAGCCAGCAGCAATTCAGTTTTTCTGTCACCTGGGAAAGAGGTGAGGGCAGATATTCCATGCTTGGGAAGGAATAAAGTTCTTCCTGTTCAAAAGGAAGAAAATTCCTATACAAGCACGAATCACAAATTGCACATCTTTGAAAGCTTTATCCTTTTAATGAGCACATTAAGGATAAGTCCTGTTCAACAGGGCTCATTTAAATGTTCCTGGCTGCAGGGATTTGCACAGGGAAAGCAAGCAGAAAACCTGCAGAAAGTGGCTGGAAAGAATGCAAGTGTGAAAGCAGATTTGGTTTCCTGTGGGGATGCTAACGAGGCAGCAGAGCTGCATCAGTAATTTCGTGTTCTGCCTTGATTCCAGGGCTGGGAGAAAGGAGTGGTGTTTGTCAATGGTCAGAACCTGGGAAGATACTGGAAGATTGGACCTCAGGAAACTCTTTACCTTCCTGGGCCCTGGCTAAGGAGAGGGGGCAATGAGGTGAGAGACTCTGCTGGGATTGCTCTGTGCCTGTTGGGGTTGTTAAAGGTCCTTGTCCCAAAGAGCCAGACACACACAGGACAGCAATTATCCTTTAGCTGAAAGCCAGTGCAATAGAGGGGAAGGACAGTGAGCTCTGAAGTCCTAAGAGCTCTGAAAATGAGGGAAGGTGCTGCTCTAAAGCTGGCTCTGGCTCTGACAGCCATTAAAGGCTGACAGGGATGGCAGCTGAACTTCACAGCTCTGCCTCAGGTTGGAAATCAAGACAAACCTGATGTGATGCTGCTTCATCCCTCACCACGTGGTGCCGAGGCAGAGCCTCAGTCCCTGTTCAGACCCACACTGACTGAGCTCTTGAAATGGTGCTTCCTTCCCCTCCTCCTAAGAACATTTGCAGCCCCCCAGGCTTTGCAAGAAGGGATTTTCTCTCTCCCTGTGCAGATTGTGATCTTCGAGGAGCGCACGGCGGGCCGGATCATCCAGTCCGTGGACATCCCTTACCTAGGACGGACCCAGTACGTGGACTGAGAGCTGCTGTCCCACGTTTGGCTCACCCTGAGCACTCCTGCTTGGCTCAGCGCTCGGGCATGCTAACCTCCACTCCAGCCTGGGGAAGGATTTGCCCTCTGGCAGTGAGGTCAGAGGAGAGGACAGCGAGGAAGCAGCGCCCTTGTTCCATGGATGGATGGATGGATGGATGATGCGGCTCATCCCCTGCCCTGCTGAGGCCCCCAGCCCCGATGGCTGCGCATGTTCTGCACCATCTGGTGGATGTGGGGGAATAAAAAGGTGCTGGAGGCAGGTGAGAGAGAGAGAGAGAAAGAACTGAAGCCATCTGAACCAGAAGCTGAGCTCAGCTTTCCAAGGACTTTCAAAATGTGCTAACGTTGGCCTCCTCGTTTTTATAATTAGGTAGGGAGAAAATAGTTGGTGCACATGTGAGTAATCAGGTGTGGAAAACCATTTGGTGTGCTTTGAGGCAGATTTTAGCAAGTCTCTCTGCAAAAAGGCCATTATGTGTTCCTTTGTTGGAAGGCAAGGTGGTTGTCAAATGACTTTTAATTTCAGCTTTTTTTTCCCACTAAGTTTTATTACGGAGGTCGTCTCTCTCTCAAAAGGGAAAAAAAAGAAAAAATTTAAAAAGTGAGATGTGTTTTGTCTTCTGTCAAATGTATCATCATGTTTCAGGCCAGGCAGGAATGAGAATTTCCAAGGTGGAGAAATCAAGTGAGTCCTGCAGTCCCCTCTCCACCACTGCTCGCACTGTGAAGCACCTAAAGGTGACATTCCCCCTTGGAAAATGAGCAGGGATCAGATTTTGGCTGGGGTACAAGCAAAGGGACTGCAAGTGGGGAAACCCATCCCTGCTTTCTCCTTAAAGCTGCTGTGGGATCTTGGGTCCTGTTTTTTTTGGGGGTTTTTTTGTCCCTCTAAACAGAAACTCAGGATTTAGGTAAACATGATATTGTTTTAACTCAGCAGCTCCAGGCACAGAGGAGCTGCAGCCTCCTTAGGGAGAGGGGGAGATCAAACCCGAGCTGTGAATCCTTCAGAAGCTCCAAGGAGTTGCTGCTTTCTGTGCCAGTACCAGGAGAAACACCAGACTGTGTCTGTAAGGGAGGTGCAGGGTATTCTGGCTCTTAGAAACCATCATTTTATTTAACAAATTTAAATACAGTTTGTTTAAAACTGAGAACAGACAGTGCAGCTGGAACACACTCCATCCTGGCCAGGTGTGGTGACACCTATCTCTGCTCCCCAGGGCCACAGCAGCTCTGGGACAGCTGAGAGGGCCCAGGCTCCTGTGGGCAGAGCAAATGTGCAGGGCTGTGCTCAGGACTCCGTCCTTTGCATTTTTCTGAAAGTTGTTTCCTTCCAAGGAGGGAAGGCTGGAACCCAGCAGGGACTGGAATTCAGATCAGTGAACCAAAACATGCAGCTCCGAGAGGACATCAGTTGGAAACTATTTCAACGCTATGAAAACTTGGTAGTCCTTGAAAAATGTCTTTCCACTGTAGGGTTTGCAGACTGAAGGGAACTTGGAAGGCTAGTACAATAAGAGAAGAAATCTACTTGAGTGCAGAGTTTTAATCCAAGGTAACAATACCTGTTCCCATAGAGCAGCCAGCAGCATCCAACACTTTCCTTCCAAGTGGTGCTTCAGCCATTGCATCTAAAAGGAACATTTTTGTAAAGGCTTCTGTGGCTGGGAACTAAAGAATGAGACTTTTCCCCAACAGTTCTGATATACAGAGGGAGAAAATAACTTACAAAAAATATTTTCCTTTGAAATATCAGGAAATACACAATGTCATTAGTCCAAGGGGAGACTTCTGCACCGTGAGCCAGCAATCAAACCCAGAGCATTTTAATAGTTCTGTGTGTTAGGGCTAAAAATAACCAAGTCTATTGCAGGATTACATTTTTCCCACAGTTCAAAGGTAAAATTGTGCTTCAAAATTTTTGAAGGAATTGGGACAGTGGTGGGGGCGGGGGGGTGACAAAGGTTTGACAACAGTTATGGAGGGGGAGGGAATTTAGGGGTTTTGGCTGGGAGAAGGGGCCTGTTGTACCTCAGTTTTTATCTCAGCAAGTCTGGCAGTCTCAAACAGAGTCACCCATGGTGGCAGCACCACCAGATGGTGAACAAGCAGAGCCTGAGCCCAGGATCCCCTTCCCAAGGGTGCTGCTCTCTCCATCAGAGGGGACTGGGAACTGCTCCAGGGTGGCTTTTCACACCAGCTCTGCAGTAGCAGAAAAAGGGGCTGGGGCTGGAGGATACACTCCAATCAAATGGGAAATGCACTAAAATAATCTCTTAGAATCCAGTCCCTAGTGTGAAGCAGTTTTATTTTTTAAGAGTGGAAATTGGCCTTTATATAGGAGCACCCTTGAGAGAATCCCACACCTAATACTCATAGGAACCAAATTAGGGCTAAACAGGACCCAGATTTGGATTCATATTACAGTGTATGGCCCCCACAATCTCATTAAACCCCACTTCCCATTATTTTAGCATTTTTAGAGCACCACATGCTGGAGACACGACTCCATCCAGAACCAGTGGTGACCTGGTGGTGATCAGCAGCTCCCTGATCCTGTCCCTCCATCCCACTCTGGGAACTTCCAAGAAAGATGGGGACAAACCTTTTAGCAGGGATAGAACAGGGTTTGATGGTTTTAAACTCAAAGAGGATAGATTTGATATAAGGACATTTTTTACAATGAGGGTGGTGTCACAATGGCACAGGTTGCCCAGAGATGTGGGGGATGCCCCATCCCTGGGAATATTCCAGGCCAGGAGGAACCTGGTCCAGCTGAAGGTGTCCCTGCCCATGACAGGGGCTTGGACCAGAGGACCTTTAAAGTCCCTTCCATGATTCCATGACCACAGAGGAGTGTCAGGGTGCCCCCCAAACTGTGAAACTGAGGAAGGAAAAGGAGAGGAAAATCAGAGAACAGTGATGCTTAAAGGGTTTGTTCTAACCTGCCTCGCTTTTCCCCCTCCCCAAACCCTCCCTGTCTTGTGCAGCGTAACAAACACTGATTAAAGTAGGTTTAAAATTAAGGGCTAAGGTGCCATCTTGAAGGCAGCTGTCCCCTCCACGGCCAGAGAGCTGCTCAGGCTGTCTCACACATGGCCACAAGGTTCGTGTTTCTCAGCAAAATCAGTCCCTGGGGGCACTGCCGTGGCTCTCACCCTCAGCCAGGTGCTGGCACACAGCCCTGCTCGCTGCAGCCACATGCCAGACAGAGCCTCGGGCCGGGAGCTGCCAGTCCTGCCTTTCTGTGCTTTGTTCTCCACCTCCGGAGCGTCTGCCTGTGCTCCGGGTCCAGGAGGAGGGGCAGGGGATCCGGGGACTTCATGTATGCGGTGGTGCTTGGTTTTTCTGAAGGCTAAAACTCGTGGGAGTCAGCAGAGGGCCTGGCTCCTGCCTGGCTGGCTGGGTGGATGCTGTGGAGAGGAACCTTGCAGGCTGCGCACGAAGAGATCTTCTGCAAGAGACACAAGCAGCGTGGGTGTCACCCCTGTGCCTCACTGCAGGGCCATCCCAAAGCCCTGTCCCACTGCAGAGCCATCCCAAACCCCTGTGCCTCACTGCAGGGCCATCCCATAGCCCTGAACCACTGCAGAGCCATCCCAAACCCCTGTGCCTTGCTGCAGGGCCATCCCAAACCACTGTGTCTGGCTGCAGGGCCATCCCAAACCCCTGTCCCACTGCAGGGCCATCCCAAACCCCTGTGCCTTGCTGCAGGGCCATCCCAAACCCCTGTGCCTTGCTGCAGGGCCATCCCAAACCACTGTCCCACACTGCAGAGCCATCCCAAACAATTGTCCCACACTGTAGAGCCATCCCAAAGCCCTGTCCCACTGCAGGGCCATCCCAAAGCCTGGTCCTGCTGCAGATCCCAAAATTGTGCTGCCTGGACAGGGGGAGCAGCACTGGAGTCAGCACTGGAGAGCTCCAGCCCCTGTGCAGAGCTCCAGCCCCTGTGCAGAGCTCCAGCCCCTCTGCAGAGCTCCAGCCCCTCTGCAGAGCCTCCCCCTGGCACAGAGAAGCTGGTGCAGGCTCTCCTCCTGCCCTGCCAAGGCCACAGAGCAGCAGGCAGGGCTCCATCCTGCTTCCCCCAGGAATGGGACATAAGGGAGCTCATTGCAGGTAAAAATTCACCACTGCTGAGCAAATCTACCCCTTCCTGCTCTTGCTTCTCAGAACTCAAGAGCAGCAACCTCCTCTCCCTCCAGGCCTGGTTCTTCACTCCAGTGAAAGGGAGCATTGTGCATTTATTTTTTTACCCATAAGAATGAAGGGCAGCTCCACAGGCTGCAGATACAATTGAATAGCTCACCCTCCCGCAAACCACCTGCAGAAACACCCAGGGCATGAACAAACATCAATGTGTGTGTTCTTTCCTCCTTTCCACTGGAAAAGACACCCCATGCTCTCCTCAGGTGAGCAAACACCTCAGGCAGGGTTCAATCCACACCTTCCATACTCGTCACTCCTCTCTGTGGCTTCAGTCTGGGCCTGAATTAAATATTTCCCTCAGTGAAAGCTTCTGCCTGACCAAAAATCTTTTTGCTGGTACTGCTTTAGCTTTCCTCAGGTGTTTGCAGGTGGATGAATCCATACCCTTCACCCCTGTGCTTTAGCTACATTAAAGTTAATAAGGCAACCTTGTTCACACAAGGATTTTTCTTAATGGTGCAACTTCTGCCTAAACTCCCACTCCCTGGATTTTTCTTCCCATCAACCTTTCAGCAGGTATTTTTCCTCAAAAATGGATTAACTTTAAAAAAAGAGAGATTGATGAATGGTCTTGAGAAGTTTAGCAGTAAGGGAAGGTCAGGGGTGTAAAAAATGGAAATGAAAAATCACATTTAAAAGAGCTTTTCTCTTTCTCCTGCTCGTGTGTAGCTCTCACTGCTGTCAGAAACACGTGCTCTTACCTGCTGTTGGTCTCTGCTCAGCCATGCACAGTCAGATTTCCACGTTGGGATCTGTGAATCCTTTCTTGCCCTCGTTCACCAGCACAGGCTTCTCTGTCCTTGTGTGCCAGACTAAAATCTGAAGAAGGCAGCAGAAGTCATTAGCTGCACCTCTCCAGTGCGCTAGGAAATATTCCTGCACATTAAATCAATAGTGCAATTTAACCAGCCACCCTGGAGCCTAATGGTGCATCCACTGCTGAGAGGGGCTTTGCATAAACCTTCATTTAGGCAGAGCTGCTGCTCTGCAAAATGCACAGTGCACAGAAATCACCCTTTTACAGTGTGCTGTCGTGGGACATTAACCTGCTCCTTCCATGTAGTTATCCAGCAGCTCCCTCCAAAGGCTCATCAGCCTTCCAATGGGGTAAGGCAGCTCCCTCCCAGCCTGGAATCACATCCCTGCTTTCCACAGCTCCTCAGCTACTCCTTGGTTATCACCTTACACCCTCGGCCTCACTGGAGTCACTCAGAGGGGAAATGCAAATTCCTGACATTTAGGTGGTGTTGTAAGGGAAGAGGCATCACCAGCTCTTCCCATCTCCACCCCTGCCTTTGGCTGGGGGAAACATAACCTGAATTCTTCAGCACATGCCTGAAAATCCATTACTGGAAGCAGGCATCAGTCTGCCCTCTAACCTCAGCATCACTTATCA